GCGGACACGCGTCAATAACTCTTGGCCGAGCAGCGGACTCAACGAGACACTTGGGTTTTTTATTGAAGGGACTCCCTATGTGTCGAATCCCAATTTCGCTGCCTGGAAGCATGCCACACGGAAGTGTTGACAATGGGTCACTAGATTTCTCTGCTGTATTTGGATCCCCCACCTTTCGGAGTATCGCTTCCTGTGAGCCTCTACTCTCTTACTTTTACTTTTACACTTCTCCCATATTCTACCTCGTAAGCAATGGCAAAGTCAACTGACACAGCGCATGCCGCGAAAAAAATGATGAACCTTCAATCTTCCTTAAATTTATTCAAATAAACTCATGATGCTTGGAGAGATCCATAGTGTAGAAGGTGATGAACCTGAATTTGACCAAGACTATTCCTTAACGAATCGAAGTTAAGAGGTCAAAATAGAAGCCATGTCAAACTTTAGTAAATGTAGGCCATATGGACTGAGGTATACCCGAGTCCTTTAATCGATTTACGTATTTCCCTAGGCCGATTGTGCCCAGAGCTATGCCCCGAAAGAGGTGACAAATGCAAAATTCTGTAAGCCTAATGGTGTGGGAGAATCGGACTCATCAGGGTGGATCTCCAAGATCGACTATCAAACACCCGACAGTACCTGCTGACTGATACATGCACGAATTCTCGGAGAAATTCGATGATGGCTCGACTCTGTCCCCGTGCATCGTTCTTCTCTTGCTTCCTGTGAAATGCCACTTCGTAGGGGATCCGTTACTTCAAGGATCCTTGGTTTATTTTCAAAGTAAGCGTGACTCTTGCCATTCAGGTGGCTAGGCCGGTCTTGCCAAGTGCAGTCGCATGACTTGCCCTGCCGAAACAAGCAAGAACTAGTTGCCAGATGGTCGATCAGTCGCCCTGTGCACCTGCTTCGTCCTAATGACAGATAAGATTTTGATCTTTATTTGAAGTTCGTGCAGATTCTTCTTTTGTTCCTGTTTTCAAGTAATGAGTAGATATCGGTACATGAAGCGAGTTTGTGTCTATCGATTATCATGTATCGAAGGTAGCGTACTCGTTTGGGTTTGAGACGTAATATTCGGAAGAGACTTCTGTAGACTTACGAGCGAGTTGTGGCACAACATTTTGCAAATGAATTTACACTATATTTGATGTGCGTGTAAGCTATGCTAAGGAGCACGACATTAAGGTATCGTGTCCTATCTCTCGCCGCAAGTCATCCGCTTCCAGTCGTTTCCCCGAGCCTTTTTGTGGAGGGGAGATGACGTCACGTGATCGGTGTGGGAGGAAAGAGTCGACAATTCTTCGAGAGTGAGAATCGCTGACAGACGTCAGAACGGATGGTCATGCAAATGGGATTTTCAAACCTGGAAGATCCAGTTTTCCACCGTAGCAGCATGTCAAGCATTCTGGGGAAAAAAGGGAGAGAAAAGAAGGGAATTTGGCAAAGCTTTCTCCAAATCAGCAGCAAGCTGTCAACGACCTCATCCGACAAGGAAATAACTTGTCTTCGCCGGTGAGTGCTCGTAATATCGAGGTTTAATCGGATACGCCTGACATGGAATAGATGGAGTAACAAGTAAGGGAACGTGTCAGGCACGCAGAGGCCGGGAGGGGAACGCGTCGTGCAGGATTCCCAACTCGCGACTCTGCCACACCGTGCAGTAAAGTAGAAACCGTCTCTATCAGTTGTATCAGCTCTATCAGCTCTCTATCGGCTCTGGATCCATCGGCTATCGTAGGAACAGCGGAAGGGTTGACAGCTCTAGAAAATGACGTAACACAGCGAACCTAGGCTGGGCGCTGCGCACGCGAGTCGGGATTCGGGAAGACCGATAATGCCTTTGAAGACCATTTCAGTACTTATTTATTTTTTTTTAAATATACCGTTAGACGACGGAAGTGTTAGAGAGGTACCATGGAACGATAATTGACCCGATGGCCTCTCCTTTCGAGCTGGAAAGGACGCCCACTCGAGAGTAAGGACACGTGCCACAAAGACAGCTGCCGTTTCCGGCTTTTCGCTTCTCGTTACTTTCCCTTCTCCTTGACTCCATGAAAGGAGACTTCAGCAGCGGTCAAGGCGTCCTTTTTTTCGCGAGCCTCACTCGATGCATATCTTTCGAGTCGGATTAATTTTATTTTTATTTTTGTTATTTATTCATTTATTTTTTTAAATTATTATCCCGGTTCCATTCTTGCCGATTTCCTTCTTCCCTTCTGCCCCACGTCTTGCCTTGCACGAAAGCCGTGCGTGGAGTTGTTCTGGCATCGAGTCGATGACACCAGACAAAAGAGAGCTGCGAAGATGCCGTGAAGATGCTCAACGACAATTGTCAAAATCTGCCTCGGTGATGGATACGTGACGACCTGTGTGAAAGCGATGACGCGATTTTCGCAGAGGAAAACAATGCCCCGCCTGACTGATTCCTATCTTCCATGATCGAAGGGCCCCGTTTGGGGATTTGAAGATGCCCACGATGCCCTTTCTTCGAATGCAAGAGTCGTTTGATTCTCCGATAAGGTTCTGGATAATCCTAAGCTGGTTCATCGTGGCATCGGCCGAGTCGGGGCTTCGCAGAGGGCACAGAAAATGTCTGTCAAAAAATGCCACAAAAAAAATGCCTTGAGTTGTCCAATCAGAGACGACCTGAATGGAAAATAAAAATAATAAAGCATTTTGGAAGCACTGCACGGAAAAATAAAATAACTGTTGAGACAGGTGCCGACTACAATTGCAATATATGAAACGCTTGTGAACGCTTCACGAAGTCTTCTCCTTTACCGGTTTTAGCTGCGTAACGAGAGCGAAGTCACTGTCACGGGCTTTCCTGAAGGTTGCTCCGATACGATCAACCTTACGTAATTCCTCTAAATAATTCAGCGCAGCCATGACATATAAAACATCGATGAATAATATATTAATGCAAAGGACTTTTGGATCTCCCGAGGATGAACCGGTCGTTCGAAGCAAAGACCATGCCCCAGCCCTTTATAGTCGGCCCTTGCGTCTCGGCGAAAAGCGTCGCCGTCGAGGTCGGTACCTTCTTGGAAACGTGTCGATTCCGTTTTAGAGACGACACGAATTCGTTTGCATGACGATACCCGACGGTCGTGCCTCGTACTGAACTCTCTCGACGACCGAATTAAGAATTTCTGATCGGTCGATCTCTGAGGCCGAGTGTCGCACAGGCTCACGCCCATTTCGCGTCCTTTTCACGTCCTTTTCACGTCCTTTTCACGCACCCTCCCACGTGGAATTTAAATTCCAGTACTTTCTCAGAGCGCTAGAGCACGACCCGATGATTCGCCTTTCGGTTCCGCCATCGCCGTTGTTCGCACGAGAGAGATTTCCAGCTTGGAGCCGACAATTAGGTTTCGTGAGTGCATTTCGCGGGCATGTATTGTCATTTATTGTCATTTACACGAGAATTTAAATGACAATGCACGAACGTGATGTCCGTCGCCGCATGTCGTATCGGCTTTAATGGAGTCCCGTTGCCCTTCTGAGAGATTGATCGATCGCAGTGATTCGCATGCCTGGACTGGATTCGGGGGATTTCGAGCGCCGACACCAATTACGCCAATTACCTCTGGTAGATGGACCGTGACGAATTCGATTGCATGAGCCGGAAGTATTTCGCATGGGGAGTTTCGCCTGTAAAATTAATGTATTGTATTTTTTAATTACTTATATGAGTGGAATTAAAAAGAAGTCGCCATATGGCGCCACTGTTTATTTATATTTAAAGAAATTTACACAACTTGGGACGATTGCAGAAATGGTCCAGAAATTGTCGCACGAGAAGCAGTTGAAGTTTTTTTTAATTTCGTTTATATTGGAGTAATTTTTATCGGCAATTGAAATGCAGATCGAAGCCGCACCTCGTTATGTGCAACTCATGGGTACTAATATCACTCATCGATATTGACATGTGTGAATATTAATTCCATGTTGCTTCATTTTGGCATTGATGGCCTCGCACACTCGAACATCAGGAGAAACTCGTGCCGAAGTTGGTCGACTTCGTGACTGACATGAAATCCAAAAAAAAAAATAGCGAACCCCCAAATATCTAAGTTGCGGTTATTGGGCAGGTTAATGGCTGCCAATATCAATTTTTAAATTATAAATTGATTCCATCAGCCATTGATGTGCCAATTCCCCCTCCCTCGTACTTTCCGGATCCGAAGAGCCTCAATAGGGAAAGCGGCGAAGAAAAAGAAACCGTTGAAAATATTGTTAACTCGAATGCATAGGCTTATCTTCAGGGGTAAAAAAAAATCCTCTTGGTCAGTACTCCAAGTAATGAGGCTCTGAAAAATGTAGGATTGCTGCGCTACGGCGTGTCACAGCTCCCAAAGAGTGGGGAAAATGGACTCTGTCTCGACCCATTTTTTGATGAAAAATGGAAAGCGCAGAGGTGTGCATGAATATAATTTCAGGCTGATGGAGACATAAACAAAGGGAAATACGAGAGGAGGCGGAAATGTGCTATTTTAGGCAAATTCCCCTCGACGGAGCATTGTCTGAAATTGCATATGCAATCTCGGGGAGATGGATCTGGATTAGCGGAAATCCACGCGCTTAAATCCCCGGGCTTAAATCCCCGGAAGAATTAAAACTTTGATACGCTAGGTCTCCCTTCGAGGGCCTTCTGGCCGCGTCGGTCGTCGGGAACGCGGCTCGCATTTTCGCGTGCAACGTTCGATTTGCAATGCGTCTTCTGAAGTGAAGGGTTAATGATAAAAAGTGACCGTGTCGAGTCCTAATGATGGCTGGATTGGGAGGTACTGCATCACGCAACAGCTCCATCACGAGATTTCCACCTTCCCCTGAGTCCTGCACGGTAGAACACGGGGATTCTATGCATTAAAAAATATATACCGCTTTCTTACCTAAATATGCTCGTACATACGCCCTTCTGTGCGGGCTCGACGCGTATGACGACATGCCATTCGCGAAACGAAATCGATTCACCTGCCCATCTGTCCCTAGACATGACGGATGCCAGCGGACGCGAGGCAGATACACCGCAGAGGAAATGGGGGAAATGGGAGGGACACACCCACGGGATGGAGGGAGGCACGGGCAGCGGCCACTCCCTCCGACGGATGGTCCATGCCTCTGTGCGAGGGATACCCGATCCAGGAGGAGGTTGCGTGCCGCTGTGTCCGGTTGTGGCCGGTGCCTACCTCGTTCTTCGTCGCCGCAGCCTCGTTTTTCGTTCCATGCGATCGATGACGTCTATTGGTGTGCGAGCGCGATCGTGACGTCGGTGGGGAACTTCATTCCTGTCTGAATGCTATAGATAGGGAAGAGCCTCGCACGACTCGAGGAATCCGTTACCTAACTGGTGCCTTTTCCATGGAATCCCAGCCGAATTTTTTTTTTCAGGTAGTTGAGATGCACTGCTTTTTAATTATTAGATTGTGGGGGAATGAGTGAAAAAAAAAACAATGCCTGAATGCCTGAGGGAGAAAAAAAGGCAACGGGAAGAGAATAAACACGGAAATTGGCTCATCCATTATAATATCCGGATCTCGGAGCCCTTTACATCGTTCCTAGTGTAGGGGAATGGGGTGCATGTGAGAGTGTGTACTCGGAGTCACCATGCCAACATCGATTGAACTTGATCCTCCCGCCGTCTCGGTAGCGGTGTACGCAGCGCAGTGACACGCAGTGGCCCCCCTTCCCCCCCCCCCCCCCCCCCCCCCCCCCCCCCCCCCCCCNCCCCCCCGGGGCCCCCCCCCCCCCCCCCCCCCTCCCCCGCCCCCCCCTCCTTCCTCCCCGAAAGTGAAAGCGGCTGTCGGTCATTCCGTGCGTCGGTTTTCCAGAGACGGGTTCACTTCGCGTCGGCTCCCTCGACGTTGCACAATTCATGAAGTGACCGTTCGCTCCCGTTGGCAGTGCCGCGAATGTTGCAGGATCCGCAACAGGTGAGCCTTCGCTTCGACACGTGGGTCGTTCCTCTTCTGTAGATAGACGCGTAGCGTAAGCGCGATGGCGACTTCGTTTTGCATGCCCAAGGGAAAGTATCGAGTCCTGTCTCGTTTTTGACACGGGACCACGTTCGTAAAGGCGTATAACTGACAGCTAATTTCCCCGCAATTATTAAGATTTACTTTCAGAAACGAATCTTTCGAACAAAAGCACCGACTCAGCCGCGTTTCCACAATTTTTGAATCGAACTAATCTCTGAACGTGACCCGAACGCTGCCGCCGGCATTCATAACACGAAGAAGCCGGGAAACCGTCGCCCCCGAACCGCCCTGATTCCATGTCAGACGACGGGGAATTGAGAGGGAATTGAAAAGGAATCGAAAAGGGCAGAGGTCCGACTGCCTTGTGTCTCGGCGAATAAACGATGCGACTTTCCCAGAATCCTTGCCTCTTCGATCTTCGATGCCCCCCTCACCGCAAGGTCTCGTTTCGAATGCATTCCCACCTGGTGTGTGGCGCAGATTCTCAGGAACGCAATGTTTATGGAAGAGTTCCCAGAGACGATGCCGCGTGTGTCGTCTGCCGTACCGTGTCTGCATTCAGAGGAAGGTACGAGTTAATGGCTCGATGCGAGACTCAACATTCCGGATTGAAATATTCTCCGACCTTCCGAACGACTTTCTGACGCAGCGGATAACATCTTCGTACGGTTACGAGAAGCGAAAGAAAGTCCATCGAGTCTTCATGCCTATACTTGAAAAAAAAAAATGAAACGATTGTTCGCCGAGCCTCGAACGGAAGCAGTCGCAGGTTATTTAAGGCTGCGGCACGCCCAGCGCCTCGTTTGCATCGAATGCCGACAGCGACCAGATTTTCATCGCACGTCCGCGAAAGCGGGCAGATCGTCTGGATCGTTCCGCGAACGGAGAATCGTTCCGCGAACGGAGAATCGTCCTTTCCCGATGACATCTGTGTGACATCACGGGGGGTCGCACGCGGAAGACCGTCGAAGCACTTTCCCTCGTTCCGTCTGTGCGACGCATGGTCGGCGGAGCCTACATCGTGGAAAGTGAGAGAATGCCGTAATCCACGTGCCGAAAACGTTCGCATCTCGGTGGAAATCGTTTCTCGTCTCCGTGGAAATTCTAGCCGGGACGCGTGATGAGTTGCACACCTGCCGAAACCGCCTGCGGTAAATCACACGGCTCTGGGGTTAGATTGCCGATGACCGCAGGACGGTGCGACGCGCGCTCCTCGATCGATTTCGTTTCCGTGATGGATTCTGTTTCTTTGGATTTCGCAGGAGTCGTGGCTGGGGGCCAGGCAGAATGAGATGGGAAGCAGGGGATCCAAGCTCGGCTCCATCGAGACCCTCTGTTTCGGGTGAGTCCGTCCGATCTTCGTGATGCCAGAAAAAAAAAGGAAAAAGACATTTAATGAGATGGCGATGGTGGTTTCTTTCTCGCCTTTTGTCTGATGAGAAGTGATGATCATAATGAAGGAGGGGGGGAAAAATGGCGCTTGAGGTTGCGTCTGGCAATTCCTATCTCTGCGGACGGCCACCGCATGCACCTGTGCGCGACGTCTGCGTTTCCCACGAGAAGCGGGACGAGACGGAACGTTTTCCGCAGCTTTTTGTCCTGCATAAACTGCTATTTATGTCCCTTTCGTGCTATTGTGTGTTGGGGCGTGGGTAGATCCATCTCGTTCGTATCCCGTCCCATTAGCTGAAAGGTGACAAAAACAGGATCATTTGTGTATTCTAACTGAGTTCTAACGAACGCATTCGCTTTTTCTGCCTCGTTATAATTTCGCCTCAGCGAAATCTGAGAAGTCTAATTCGATTCCCTGTGACTGTTTTAATGCGATTATGAAACCGTTTCCAAGCACTCGGCTCATTAAAAAAAAAAAAGCTCAACTGTCTCGTGCCTGGGCCAGAAACAGGAAGGGGAAAAAAAGGGGGGGGGGGGGGTGTTAAGAAAAGAAGCTTGAGAAAGGAAAGGAAAATATAAGGTAACGACCGGGTCGTGGGTCTCGGGGTCTCAGGAGGTTTCAAATTATACAGGCCCGAGGGAATCATCGATCGTGTCAGTTCGGGTCGCTAAAAGAGAAAGACGCCATTGCTGACGTAGCGTGGGATTTTCCCTAGTATCGCTCTCGATGCAGGGCAGGAATTTCCAGTGAAACCCCCCCCCTCCCCCGGTCCGGCTCTTGCCCCTCTCCATCCGGACTGAATTCGGACGCGAATCCAACGGCTTGCCAAGGTCACATCTCGCTTGGTCAAGGTCACTTGTCGCTTCCTCGAAGGAAGGATTGGAACGAGGGGGCTGGCGGCAGGGGGGCAAGGAGGGGCAAGGGGGCCCTGTCGTCATCGAATACGCTGGCATTCAGCATTAATGCACGCTGGCGTCGGCAAACGGATTTCTAGCTTTTAGTTACGCAATGTCGACCAGAGATAGCAGGTCTTTAGGCCGGTTTCTCGACTACGACCGAGAACCTTGATCGAAGGGATGCCGAAGGTCGTGTGGTTCAAGTATTTTAATAACCGGGGTTTCAATTCCCTCCCGAGTCGTTTTTCCGCAAGGTCGAGGATGGAGGCAATGGGGGCATTTAAATCGGTTCATTGCGTTTTGCTTGCTTCTGTGCGAAGCTTCGTTTCGAACGTTTCGGTGTCTGTTCGATCCGTGAAGAATCTTTCGATCGTTCGAAACAGCGGTATGCGAGGATCGTTCGATGCGGTCGTGTCGACACCAATTTCCTGAAATCATGAGACCATGCTCGAGAGACATTTGCTCCGAGCATGCAGAAGCGTGGGCGGCTTTCGCATGCACACTACATTTTCATCGGTGCTACTCGCCTTTCCAGTCTCTGCAGCGTCCAGAAATGACTGCGATCCGTGGCTCGAGACGCAATCGTGTGACAGGGGGGGGGGGACCTGACTTTCGGGGGAACACGAGGAGGGGCAGATTTTTTTCTAAGTCACGTTTCTGAGGTGATCTTCGAAATGCAGAAGGGGACACCTATATTGTATTCGGTACGGAAGGACTTCTAATTGGCAGAGTAATTGAATTTCATTTTAGTTAAATCACTAATTTACTTGTAATTGCAATTTCGAACTTCAGAAGTGGTTGTAGCAATGATAGTCGTCAGATAAGTTGTAATTTACACCGCAAAAGAAATTATCTATTTTTTTGTTGTTGCCAATGCTGCAGCGATGGATAGATTGCGCAATTTTATCTATATGGCGGTCGTAAAGCTTTTTGACGGCCCTGATTCCTCACCGAATCGCAAAATTATGACCAATTCTTGGAATGAAGCGCCATATCAGTTCTCGTTGACTTCAAGGCAAATTGGTTCCTAATTTCTTGGGTGACGTAATGGATGTGAATCGATATTCCGTACTTGTTGATCTTGCATTAAAGATCCAGCATAAAAACTGGTATTCTAGTAGTTTCAAAAGTACTTGAATATACGACATTTTAAGTTATTCATGAATGCCCAATCCCCTAAAGGAAGTTGTAGGTGTACTTAATCATGTCAAGTGAGATACCCTGTAGTTACTTGCCCTACCTTACCCATAGAAGCCAAGAAAACAGTTCAATAAATCGATGACGAGAACCCGGCTCGCACCCCATCGCTAAAAATTTAAAGCCAGCATTATCTCGCAAAACAGTCGATGGCCGGGGGGACATCCAAGAGGCGAGGGGGACATCCATGAGGCGCGGGGGACATCCGTTCGGCCCAAGCGAAAGGTTCCTCCGAGATGGCGAATGTTTTGCGCATGGCGTGGTCGACACGGGAATCCGCTTAATAAATTCATGATATTTACCATAGGGTGCTCGCATTGGTTCCGTCTTTTATGCGAACCATCGAGGTCGTCAGGCAGAAAATCGTACGGGAAGGAACACTTACGCATGCTTCATTGCGAATCGCATTCGTAGGACCGACTGAAAAACTAATGAGACGTTCGGTCGTTCGGTCGTTGAAGAGTTTCGGGTGATCTCTGGCGATTGATTCTCCCACGACTATTTTAGCTTAATCTCGGTGGAAATGGCGCCCCTTGCTTTATTGACGAGCTCTCGTTTCCTGGTCAAGGGAATGAGATTGCCCTGCATCGATCACGCTCGGGAGACAAAAGGACGACGGAATGAATGGGAGGGCCCATCCCAATGGATCGTGTCGAGTCCCATTCATGATCCCTTTTCCCTGGTTTTCGGGTTCGATCGCGGCCTCGTCCTCTTTAGTCCGTGTTCGCCTTCACGCCCCGTTGGATCCACGCCGGACGAGGAATTCCCACAGTAGCCTTCGGGGCGAAAGGCCCTTTATCTGTCTGCTCAGCGAGTGTGCAGAAAGAAAGCGAGGGTTTTCCGACTCGATGCCTCTTTGGCAAAAGGGGTGAAACCTGTACGACCAAGTACACGTTACGAAGTACGACCGGTCCCTGACGGTATACTGCCGAAGCGTTGAAGAAGAAAACGCTGTTTTCCTTCGTGGAACCGAGAAATATTCTGTATTCCTTTCGGTTTCGATTCGCTTCTGGGCAACGCCCGTGGCTATTGGTGACGGTCGAGATCTCCCACGAACCTCGCAGGTGGAAATAGACTTCTGGTTTCGGCTCACATGGAGTATGAGCTATCCTTCGATGAGTTTTGACTGGATTGCGAAATAGTTGATTCGCCAAGGTTTCAGCTACCGATATCGTGATTGGGTTCGTGGGTAGATTCTATCGGGACTCTCGCGGGCAAAAATTCCTGAAATAGTTTATTAACCCGATGCTTCAGACCATTCTCAATTTTACTTTTTTATGATTTTGCATATGCTACGCATATATTGCTCCAGTCGTATCCTGATGCACCTGCATTATATTAGTTTCAACTTTATCTATGCTGCAATTGTGGCGTGGTGAGAGTATCTTTGGTTTGTCTCAGACGCTTAATGAAATTTCCCCTTGGTCGCCCAATTAATTCATAATTCCGAGACGCATAATTAATGATTCCTTCTGATTACTCGTCCCTAATTATTTCCCCACGTTTAGCGTGCACGTGATATTCCTAAGAGCAAACTTTCCTAAAAGCATGGGGCTAATCTGTCCCAGGGTTTTTCTTTCCGGCAGTGTGCCTGAAAATCTGAAAAATCTAATTTTCAGCTATCAGTTGCGTTATCTCGGGGGGATTCCCTTATCCTGTTTGTACAACTGTTCGATCCGGGCTCGAATGTCGTGGAAAGCGTTCGCCTCGAGTCCTTCTGACGTGTCGGAACGCAACCTCGGAATGAGGCAGTCGAGTCTCCACAGCGGCAGTGTGATCACCATGTGATAGGATGCCGAGCCGGACGAGAATGGTTTCGGGAAGGTCAGTTCCCTCATATTCTTGAGCCGTGGCCCTTCTCGGGGGGGGGGGGGGGGGGGGGGGGGATGCCTTCAGGGAACCGCAGGGGTGGGGGGGGGGGGTGGGGGGGGGGGGGGGGGGGGGGGGGGGGGAGAGGGGGTATGCCTTAAGTGAATCGCAGAGAGTCGAGACAAATCGTGTGGGGAATGCCCAGAATCGGGCGTTTCGTTGGAGGAATTTTTCGTTACCGCGGGGATCTTCCGGTGTGAGTGGTTCCATCTTTGGCATCACTGATGTGGCGAAATGCCTCTAAACTTCCAGGATCGGGCGCCCAATTTCGGTTTAGATGAGATAAAGTCTAATAAGGTCAAACTTTGGCTTTCCCATATTAAGTCGGTGGCCTCGTTCGAGGTTTAACTGGTCCAGACTCAGAAGAGATTATCATCTCGTGGGTCGTATCGTCTTATCAGCCATCTACGATAATGAAAATCGGTCCAGCTGTCGAGGAAGAACCGCGAAGGCGTCCACAAATGAAGAAAGAGAGTGCAAGGGAAGACGGATGAAATGAATCAGGTGGGAGTAAGTGCATAATGATGTGCAGGGGGTCATCCGTGACGAAATTCCCCCGTCATTGCGTCACTTTTCCTCTCGGCCTGCCCTTCCTTCGCGCTGGATAGAGCTCATCTTTGTGTCCTCCACAATGATGTCGTTTGAAGACTCGATCCGCTGACGGTCTCGTTTCATCGGGAACTTTCGGCGAGGACCATGTCATATGTCATCTCATGTCATACGTGGGCGGACGACGAGGACAGCAAGAGGGAGAAGCAAAAATAAATTAGAATTTTCGGGGCCTTTCGCTTTTTACAGTACAATACTGTCGTGATTGATTTAATGCTTTTTGCGTTTCAGTCATTGTCCGTTCCAGATTGCTTTCTCGTCTCCCTATTCTAATGCCAGAGGAATTGTATTTCGCTTCCGGGTTGTTATTCAGGGCGGAGCAAAAATTAGTTGCCCCTTGTTATGATTAACGGATTACGATCTCACTTCGTATTTCATAACTTGGAGTTGCGTGAATGTTGTGTTACGTTGCTACGCACTTATCAAAGATGTTCGAGCTGTCGTCCCCCCTTATCAGTACATTTGAAAAAGGAAAAGAAATTGCCACGTTGGTAACCTATATAATATGATTTGGTGCATAGCGAAAAATGGGGCGCGAGTTCCAGGAACTGCTTTGTCATTTTCCATCCGTTTTTGGCGCATCTCTTATGTGATGATGTCATTGGGGTAGAAGGCAAAATTCCGACGGCGTGTATGTCAAGGCATGCATGTATGCATCATCATGCAGGTAGATGTGCCTTCATGCATGGGGGCATATCTACCTGCCTTGCATTATTATATTAGTCTCACTATCATGAAAGAGTCGCAGTTCCGTGTTTCTCATTGACGTCGTCGTGCTCCTCTCCATCGTGTAATAAAAATCCCGTATCAGGGCTATACGACTAGCATGGTTTTCCCGTATCGTGTGATTCAGACGACATTTTCACCACTCGACGTTTCATCCCGTTTGAAAGCGCATCCTCGCGGTGGAATAGTCAGTGAGGGCGTCCTTCGCCATTCCTCTTCATGATGCGGTATGCCTTTCTCTCCTCGGCCGAAGTGAGCTTTCGCAGTATTTTTTTTCTCCCAGAATTACGTCACTTTTTTCTTTCTCGTGACGGGACGGACTGACCTCAATACGAATTGAGCAAGCGATCTGTCGTACATGCACAATGGGGGAAGAGGGGGGTAGCCAGTCCGTGCTAGAAAACGAAGAATGGGAAATAATACAGGTTGAGAGGGTGGGGATGATTCCCACGTGCAGGAGATGCCTGGAGGCTCCTCGGTATTGTCCGTTCACCTGCATCCTTTTTCTCCCTCGAGGGCTTGCTTTCGCGTTCATTCCCTCTCCGACTCTTCTCGTTGCTTCATCCGTGGCCTTTTGCTCCTCTCGGTGTCCGTCGAGGCCTGTGTCTGTGTCCGAATGATGCCGTCGACGTCATGCTCTTTTTCCGCAAGTAAGCCGACATCTTTTGTTCAGTTCTTCCGAGGGAAGCCATCGGTGTCGATGTCTCGTGGCGTTTCGGGCAGGCGATTGGGTACTTGTGACGTTTCGCACGAGTATCTGGAAGCCCTTCGCATTTCGTTCAGGTGCCTGGGATTTCGTATGATACGTCATTCTATGGGGGCTTTAGTATACGTGCTTGAGGTAGGTGATGGTGGTTGTGAAAGAGGAAGAGATGAGCACCGTAGTGTATATATTTGCATGATGACCTCATTCCACTGCCCGAGATCCTGCCTCTCCAATGCCGCTTCTTGGGATGAGGATGAGGATGAGGATGAGGGTGAGGGTAAGGATAAGGGGATGAGGATGAGGAAGGCCATGATTGCCAAAGCCAAGGTTCCTTTCGTGTCCTCCCTCCTAAGTAACTCGATACGGATGCTAGACGAGGAACCAAGAACAATGCCCCTCCGCTTTCTATCCTTTGTCACTCTTCCGTTCGATTACGTACCTATGCCACCGTGAGCCTTCGGATCCAGTTCACTTAGAGAGCAAAATCGAGGATCTTGGTGTAATCATTGACGGTGTTTGATGCGTGCAACTGTTCTAATTCTGCCCCGCTTTTCTTTGCAGCACGGCGAAATTGTTCCTTCGATCGGTGCTGGTGGTAGGATTGCTCACCGTGATCATCTACACTGCCTTTCTAGTCAACACAACCACCCATCGCAGAGCCCATCCAGGTAAATTTGCAAAAAAAAAAAAGTCTCATGATCCCATCGACGGATGCCATTATGAAGATTATAGCGTCTTAATGAAAGTAAAGCCAAAATCCACCCCGTGAAAGGGGAGATTCACTGATCAATTACCGTGAAGAAACATCGTGCATGCAACACGAGCTTCATCGCTTCTCTTTCACTACGGCAGCCTATTCATGACTTCTAGCGGGTAGGATATATAAGAGAAGGGCCTCTCACGAACGTCGACGTAACTCTTTTGAGAGGGAGGCAGACTGCGGTCGCCCCCATTCTCAGAGGGTCCTAAAATTATAGACAAGGAAGGGGATGGGGGGGGGGGGGGGAGAATTCTCTCCCGATAACGCATATCAAACGTAGAGCAATAACCTCCAAGTTTCACATCGCATTTTGACTTGTTGAGGGAACTTGCCCCGTATTGAAGGTCACAGGAGAACCTTTAATAGACGGTAGTTCATTTTTCAGGCATCCACTGCTCAAGGAGCCTTTAGACCCTTTCAAAAGACCCTAAACCGCGAGGTTCAAGTGGCAAATGGGGCGGTAAATAAACGAAAAAATCTCCCCTCCAGGTGTTGGCCTCGGGTTAGTTCAATGTTCGTAAGGGATGATTCCTTGAAACCCCCGGGCAAGGCCATCCTCTGACGACTTCCTAATTCCGAAACGAGGACTTTTTCGTGTCGTCTGCGTTCAATGAGAGTCGAATTGCCAGTGCGAGATCGTGGAAGGCTGAAACTGAAGTATGTGATGTAATAGAAATGGAGCAGAGCGTAGACGTGTATATAATAGGTATAGAAAGATTTTGAATAATTTGAGGGGGAAAAATATAATCTACGCGCTGAATTCGTTTAAATACGGAGGAGAGATAGCAGGAAGCGTGGGCAGAGGATACAGGTCTACGCACCAGAGCTACTGGGGATTTTTGTTATGTCCCAGTTTTATTATGAGGACGCGGCCCGCCCGCAGCTTATTGGTCTGTCGCAATCGATCCACGGTGAATCTGAAGGTGACGCGTTGGTGTTGCCCCCGTCATGAGAAGAAATGCCGAAGAGCAAATAAGGGAGACTCATCCGCCTTGTACCGCTATCTCAGAAAGCATTCACGAAGCACCAATCGATAAGGTTTGCTATGTTGGGAATTTTAATTATCAACGCAGGGATTTTCGCATGTCGAACGTCGACTGTAGGAACGTGAGATTAATATTTAGAAGGCGAACAATGCTCGAAGAACGTCGAGAACAGAAGCAAAGGCTCGTTATGGATGCGCAACATAACTTTGTTTTTAGCCCATACGCCAGCAAGCCAGACGGTCCTCTGTGCCCACGCCCCCTCAGCTTCACAGATATCAAAGGAGAATCCTGAGAGTTTTTCCTCCGTATATGGTACCGTGTTCTCGCCCTGTTCTCGGATCTAGCCTGAGAGATTGAAGAAGAGGAAGGTATAAGTGCTATAGTGTGATGCAAGAAGAGCTAGTAAGACAAAACCCTTGCGTACAAAATTGAGTACACGCACTTACAAGCAAGGAATGAACTTTTTATGACCCTGGAAGTCTTCTGCAAAGGCAAAAAGTTTGCGGCTGAATTCACTTCATATTTTAAAGCTGTGGAAAGGGTACTTCGACACGAAGCATTCAGACTGTGGCATCCCTAAGAAGCGATTTTTTTCTCGGACCTCACCTCCTACTGAGGATCATCATCTGTTGAACATCTGAGCTAGCAGTTGGTGGCCTGTAGAGGGAGGAGCTGGATGGCACGAGAGGATGAATGAACACCAGGGAACGGCCGGGAATCCAACCCGGACCTCCTGCATGCCGGTCGGGTGTGCTACCACTGCACCACCGAACCTAGTTGCACCTCTCCATGCCATCCCTAGCACGACACAATGACGCTGAATCGCAATCACGGGCATCAAAACCTGTTAGAATAGTAATAAATGTTTCCTCCTTCCTTATACGGTATTCTCGCTTTCTCTCAATTGAGAAAATCGGCCACAATCCCTGTTCAATCCTCATGAAATTTTTGCGTCGCATTGACTTCCAGCATTTGCTTGCAGATTCAAAAGTAAGGTGAAACTCAGTCGTCCTTGTGATTATGTTATGGTACAAGACCAGTCAACATACAATTTAAACGCTGCCTGTCCTGAAATGTATGCAATTTGTATGGCTTCATTAGAGTGACAACATAAAAGCATGTTCCGTCTTTTACGGCTGGCAGCCGTGAAATTATTCATGCTTATAGACGAAATTATATGTTGTCATGGTTGTTGGTATAATGGGCGCCCGGGCAGACGCGGGGGCGAACGTAGAACCATGGGTAATAGTGATATGCCTCGATTATTGTTTCGGGTTTATTCAATAAGATGGAAAACGCTAAGGCAGCCACTGGGAAACAGGAAACAAGGAATGCTGATGAGCGATAAGATCGAAATGGCAAGGATTACGTGTTGTTTTTGTGGGGTCCCCGATGAAATGTACCAGGATTTCATCATGCGTTGGACGTGGGAAGTAACAGATTGAATATCGTAAATCCTGGAGTGAGTCAGTAGCCGAGTTCACCCACGGACTGGATGAATAACATGTCCTGGATGCGTAACATGCGTAACAGAAGGATTGTGGAGTAGGAGTTTTAACATGCCTCCCCAATTTTTGTCTGCAAAGTGTTGCATAATAGTGCCCCCCACCCCTTCCTAGAGCCTGCGCACAACGTGGAACGACTTTGTAAATGTTGTAAGAAAGGATAATATCATGTAGTCTATTTTTTATGTTTTCAAGGCGTCAAGGCAGGCGTCCTAGGTGACAGTTGACCACTGTGTCTCAAAAAAAAATTGATCAGAGATGAATGTTGAGTGAAACGGAACTGGTGCAAGATCTTAAGCGATGTTGATTCTCGGTTTTAAGGTTTTAGACCCCCGAAGCTCTCAAAATGGCACAAAGCTTTTAGTCCGGTCTTCAGAAGAAACGGGAAAAGGACTTCTTTGGATGCGAAGAATGGCCGGGGAACTCATTTGATCACAATGTTTGCGAGCATGTGGGCTCAATTGTGAAGGATCGATTGGTAGAAATGATGCATGAAGGACGAAAAAGTAAATTTTTAATCGAGGTTATGAGAGAAAATTCATGATGGTATTTCACACCTGGAAAGATGTTGATTTGTTCCAAAAAATTTTTAAATTTTGACTGATCGGTGCTTTTTTTTGCGGCACATATTGGTAATACGGAGTTCAAATTTTGCACGGAATATTGTGTGATAAGAAACCAGTGGAAACTTTTGTTTTTGGTCAAACTCGGCCAGTTTCGTCTGGAGATAGAGTGTCAGGTGTTTGCACCACCCTTTACTATGTGTTTACCTTTACTTTGTAAGTTTGTACTCACCGCATTAGACCCAAATCTTCAGGTTTGATTATGGCGCATGAAGTGTCCTTGGATTGAGACTTTCCTGAGACTTCATTTATTGGTATATTGGCCCAAGACACCGATATCATACAGGAAGTATAGAAAATATACATATGGACATGCGATCAAAACTATTGAATGAATCGTCACGAACGTGTCATGAAGGAAATGAATAGTGTGCTTTTGTAGCCTTATGTCAGGCAAATCTCATGGCACGGTAGAGTTTTGGCCCGCTAATATGATTAAAATCTTGTGAATCTGAGAACCCGATACTGGAATTGAAGGATCTAATGCGTCCACCTGGCATCCGTAATGCTGAAATTCGATCCCAGTCGTTCCCAGTTGTTATTGGGTCCACACTGCCCTCGCCGCATTGCGCTTGGCAACTTGGAGAGTGGAAATCGGTACGAGAACCGGCCCTGAGAGAAAAACCCAACTTCATTGTAACGAGTATTGCAACAAGGCAAGATCTACAAAGGGAATGAGTGGCCTGAAACCGCCTTCTGACGACTGGCTCTATCCATGAGCCGCATCTCAAACTCACATTCATCAAGACGTGACAAGATCTACGGCTCTGCGGAGTTATAAGGATCTGCTGTTTGTACCTTCAGTATACGCGGTATCTTCACGTGTATGCGCTTAGATCTAGGGTTATCTCACGAAGATAAGCCTCAAGGTTTTTAACATACAATACTGCATTCATGTGGGGAATCTACTTCACAGATTCACTTGCATGTTAAATGTATCTGATAACATTGGCTGTGCACAAGTACATACCTATCCGAGTGTTACCTGCAAGCAGCAGAGTTGTAATCATGGGAGTCCATTACCTTACTGCAGGGGAGGGGGTATGGCAAAGTCCCAGCGTCAATAAATAAAGCAAGCGAATTCATGACATAGGGGGCAGTTTCCTGATGTACATAATGAGGATACATCTTGGTGCTAATTTGAAGCAGCGGATTTGAAGTTCTCGTTTATTATTTTAAAATTTGAAATTGAATCAAATTATTAATTGTAATCCCTCATTTTTAATTTAGCGAACAAAACGTCATGAAATAAAAACATCTTTCAATGACGAGGCCTGAATCTTCATTTTTTCGAATGAAAACTTGATGAGTTTTTCTTTATTTTCATAGCAGATGACATTACTGAAAGTGAAATTGCTGAAATGTATTCCTTGCAGTAAAAATAAAAGAGTGGGTTCCAGCATTGCTACTTAACCATTGCTAATTGTCTCAGTCCACGTGGACTGTGGGATTTCACAATGACTGGGAAGCAATCAGGCCGCTCCTGAAAACGTTTTCGAGTGAGGAGTCACGGGAGAAAAGTCACGGGGAAATGACTTAAAAAAAAAAAAGGTTTCCGCCATTTCCACGTGGAAGGGTCTGGGACGAGAAAAATCACTCGCTGATGACCCTGTAATGTTGGGTTCGAACGTTATGAGCTATTATGACCAGGATGTCGCACAGTCACGAAAATTGGAGAGCATTACAGAGGTGTGACCTCATACCTGATGGTTCGTCATTCGGGGCGACAACTGGTATGGATATTAGATAAGGTGATGGGTAATTTAGCCATTACTGAAGAATGGAATGGAGTGATAACCTGCTTGTGGGACTTCCGTCGCCTGTCTTTAGGATAAGAACGCAAGAAGGATATAAATCCATATAGGTGTTTATCGGCGAAGAAAGATTGCGATTCCGTCTGGAATATGCTCCATTCGTGGCAAAATTGTATCGTTCGCCTCGTGCTTTACTTTACACGCCCCACTGTATCACTATTGATCGATGCAAACTTTGCTCATATCTGTACTCTCTTATTGATTCAGTTTCGCGGTGTTGTGTGTCCAGGATTGTTGCCGAGCAGAGTGAAACCGTCGATCGGAAGAGAGATCCAGTCGTACGAGACAGAGGAAGCCGGAGCAGGAACTCAGCAGCGCCGGCAGCAACCCCAGCAGCAACCCCAGCAGCAACCCCAGCAGCAACCCCAGCAGCAACCCCAGCAACCACAAACGCAACCACAATCGCAACCCCAGACGCAGCCAGCGCAACAGCAACCCCCAGCCCCCCCGTCCCCCTCCGCAACGATCGAAGAACTGCTCCACCCCCTGACGTTCCCCATTCCGAGTCGAGATTTGTGCTCGGGTGGGGAGGCACCAAAGCTTCTCATCCTAGTCACGACGGGACCACAGAACGTGGAGAAACGTCGGGCCGTTCGGGACACCTGGGGACATGTCGCCCTTCGCCGAGACGTCCGCCTCGCCTTCTTCGCTGCCCTCGCCCGGGACGTCGACCAAAACGTCCAGAAGACCTTGGAAGAGGAACAGCGGCTCTACGGTGACATCATCCAGGCGAATTTCATGGACCATTACGATAACCTGACGTTGAAGGCAGTGGCCATGCTGGAATGGACCCTCGAGCACTGTCCGAACGTCACGTTCCTGCTCAAAACGGACGACGACATGTTCGTGAACCCGAGTCAGCTGTTGAGTTTCATCGACTCGCACCGCGACGGGAAGATGACGATATACGGGAGGCTGGCGGAGAAGTGGAAGCCTCATCGGAATTCAAACTCCAAATGGTACTTGACCCAGAACGAGTACTCGGGGGAGATGTTCCCGACGTTCGTGACCGGTCCCGCGTACCTCATGACCAGTGACGCGTTGGGGATCCTCTGGAAAGAGGCTCTGAAGCTGCGGTTCCTCCGACTGGAAGACGTCTTTCTCACCGGCATCGTGGCCGGGAAAGTCGGCGTGAGCCGGGTCGGCGACGGCAAGTTCCTCAACGCGAAGCCGAAAACGACCAAAAGTGCCTGTGCGCTCAGGTCCTTCATCAGCATGCATGACATTCCCCGGAAGGAGTTTTATAATATATGGGATTTCGTCAGTAATCCCGAGCGGAAATGCCCCGAGTCCGGGGGAACCAAAGAAGCCTAGTGCCTCGTCGTCTCGAGGCAAGTCGCGCCTTTCCGAGTCCAACGCGACAGGTAAATTGTCGATATTTTTTAAAATCGTGACCGTATGTTCAAATCTTATTCCCGGTTTCGACAGTACTGTCGATTGTAGAAAACGCCGTTCAAGCTATCACTCGAACGAGCATCACTTGCACTTAAAAAAAAAAAAGAAAAAGCCCACGACATCCGTGCGTCGTAGGCAATCGGGCCGAAGCGGTCGAAGGGAGCCCACCGGGAGCCCACTGGGAGCCCACCGGGAGCCCCCCGCTCCCTCCCAGCAAGTGAGGCCGAGAAGAAGCAATCTTGACGAGACCGAACCGAGTAATGAAAAATCCCCGGAACGAGATCTCGTGTGTGACGTCACTTTGCCCAATTGCCTCCTCGCTAAAGGGAGAAATTTTTGCGAAACGGAATGAGGAATCGAATTCATTTCATAATTTTTTTTTACGGCTTCATCCAATTTAAAATTTTGATAATTTCTCACGGCACTTTTTTTTCAGCGACGGTGCGTGCGGATCTCAACGCGCCCGCAAACGGCATTCTCGTTTCATGCGCGCTCAGATTTTGGACTCGTTTCGTGGGAAAAGAAAAGTAACTGCACTCTCAGTAACAAGTATTGATTAAGTGCGCACATTCTCGCACGTAAATCACGCGCGAATTGCGACTCACGCTCGCCTGCGCATCCGGGACAAATTTTATTTATTTTAGCATGTATCATTTCGAGTGATGTAAAAACAAGATATGAAGGATTCGCAGATTTCTCGAGGCACACTTTGTTTTCGAGGATGAAAAACCTTTTCCTTTTGTTTTCGAGGTCACGTTGAAAACATCTGTCCCCCAAATATAGAGGCCAACAACGGGCTTCAACATTACGTCACTGTTTGAACGGCATAAACCAGTCCTCGTTCCCGGTTTCCCGCCTTTCCGGGGAACAAATGGGTTCCCATTGAGTTCCCATTGGGTTCCCAGTCGTATTGGCGCACCCAGAAAGTAACCTTCCACCCAAACGAAGTCGGAGAATGCAGAGGAGTGGATTTCCGGGCACGTGACGTCATCGCCCCGCCGATATTTCTTCGGCCCGTTTGCCATGTAAAGCGAGATTCCGTTTCTTCTCGTCACGATCCGTTCTTTTTGGCCTCGACTGCTGTGATTTCCAAAGAAAAAAAAAAAACGGTGAGGGGAAACCCTCGCAGATCTGTTGACAGCCCGACGAAATCGCCGATTTTTGCCGATTTTGCTGATTTTGCTGATTTTACCTCGTGATATGAGTGGGTGTTCGCTGTCCACCCCGCGTGTCGGCATGTTACCTTTTCCGATTTGCTTTTCGTGTTTTTATTCATTCCCGACGTGACGCCATCCGTCCTCCGTGGCAGTTTTTTTTTTTTCCCTCGCCAAAGAAGCATTCCTCGAGTTCGTCTCGCAGTCATCGGTGATTCGAGTGATTAAAAGGGGGACCGACGGATATTCGGTCGTTGCCCCCTGGGATATCTGTGATGCCGTGCATTCAGCGAACTTGAAATGATTGAATCGTGCTTCTCTCTCCGGAGACCTGCCCCATTTCCAACGTTTTCTTCTTTCCCTCCCGATTGGAATCAAATCGAGTTTGGTATCAAAGGGTAATTTGGAGCCTGTCGAGCTCTCTAGAAAATAATTAATTTGTTTGCTTTTTTTTCCTTTGAGGATTGTGAAAGGGAACGTAGAGACGAGAATTCGTGTCCATTTGATGCCAAATTGATTCAAGAAGCCATGTCGACTCCTTTGCACGTTTGGAAATGGAGCGGGTCTTAGAGGGCAGTATGAAAACTGAATTCGGTGTGCGCAAAAACTCTTACTCGTATTTTGATCAGTGTCGGATCCCGACGAAAAGGGTGCCTTTTCGCACGTGCCTTGCAAAATTTCATTGCTCACACCCTTTTTCTCTGCATTTTTTTTTCTCGTGTTTGGTTTTCCTCCGGTTCGCAACCTCTGCAGGTTCTATGACCTCTCGTGTCGTCGTCGACCCTTGTACGATATCCTGACTCCCACCTGTGATATTTTTTTTCCCGATGATCTATATATTTTGGAGACGGGGGAATAAAATTCATGGAAGCGAATTCGGGGCTGCGTTTCTGTGATTCGACTCCACACTGTTGGATCGAAAACATTTTCGCCCAAAAAAAAAAAAAAAATCGTTTTCATTCCCACCCCACAATGCCATACTCGGATCGAACTCGAAATTCAACTCGAAACCCATCTGGACATTGGTGGTTTTGGTGGGATCTCTTGAAGAGTGTATCACGTAGTTCCCGAAAATTTATTTCTCCAACTTCCCAGTTTTAATTGGAAGTAGAGATAAAAGTTATAAGCTCTCCATCTGTAAGTAGAAACTGAACTTACCACATTTTTTATTTTTTATTTATTAATTATTATATTGTGACGTCCCTTAAAGTCAATTCAAGTGGCAAAGAATGACACAATCGTAACATCGTTGGAACATCGTCTCGACTCATTGCCTTGAAGCTGCAAGAAGAGCACTTATCAGCTGACATATGCTACCCCCCCCTCCCCCCCTTCCTCTTCAGGAACCATCCATCATGCCGACTCATTCATCCATCACGGGATGTTGAAAGGTCGCTCGGGTCTTTCGCAGCTTAGACTCGCTTCAGGTGTTTCTGCATCGATCCGCTATGGCTTGAAGCGATAGCCTCATCCGCTGCTCTTCGAGGATTCCGTTCGACTCGGTTTATCTTGTTCGAGGGTTTCCCTTACGATGATATTCCGATGACGAACTCGGATTTTTTTGCATCGAAAGTATTGGGTGTGGTTGTGCTGTGTGTGAAGGATTCATCATACAAATTACCGGGTAATTCATTTCGGCTTTCAATTGCTAGAATATTCCATTTTATTCAAATTGTTAGCATGCTGGAATTTTGAATTAACTTAGATGGTTAAGATCAACTTCAATATAAGGCATGATAGAGTAAGAATCGTGATGCAGCAAATTCTCACTTTTGCATCTCATTTTCTCGCTCACGAACTCTAACATTTGTACTTCCCCGAGATTTCCAAGTCCCTCGAATTTAAAAGGTTAAAGGTTTGGCTTTGGATACGCCCATATCGACATCATCGAACCTCCAACCACTCCAAGGATAAATATTTTTATGAGAGAGTGTCAATCTCCCCCCCCCCCCCCACTTACCGCTAGATTGCCCCCCGATCTCGGTTTACCCACGAAGGCATCGATTCTCGTGCTGGATTTATTCATCGGACCTTCCGCCCAACGCATCCCGTCCATTCGTTCTCGCGACTTAAAAAGTATTTTAGAAGTCTGACTTGGCCTGAGGCTTTTGAACCCGTTCCCCGTAGTTTTTTTTTTTTCTTTTAAATCCTGCCAGGCTCTGATTTTTAAAAGCTCATAATCATCTTATATGCCTCGATAAAATCCCCCCCCCTCCTTCTTACCCTTCTCTGCAGCGAATACTGTTTCAATTTTTTTTTCTTAAGCCGTTCTCATTAAGCTCCCACGCATTTTCATTTATGATTATTGAAGCCAGTCTCTGAACCCGTCATTAGATCCTCTTTACGATGGGTAATTGGAGAGTTCCCAGACTCGCTTCTCTATCATTAGTTCCTCTTGGAGCTGAACCCATATTCCGGCTGAGATGGTACAGTGATAATTTGTGCGATTGTATCATATTTCTTGTGAATTTCGTGCAATTTTTAGGCGAAGTCAGTTGGGCACATTCAGAGTGAACTCAGGTTTTTTTGCTAAAGGAGGTCGAAAAAAGCTTCAACATAATTACCATAATTACCAATTACCTTTTGGGACTCCCGAGGGACATTTTCCAACAAGTCAAACTCCACAACCACGATCTTGCGTCTTAATTCTCGCGTTCTAGAACCGAAGGATCGGATTCGAGGCGAAATTTTTTGCAAGCAATTTCGGCCGCGTCATTCCCAATTTCTCAATCAATAAGACGGATCTCCAGAGATTGGTTCGCTGGGGGCATCGAAAGTCATGCATAAAATTCCCACGCCCCAAAGGGCATCTTAGTAAATGTCCTTTATCCCTCTTATCTGCTTCTTAATCCTAAAATTTTGACAAATTAGATGCTCAGATCCCTCAATGAACTAATTCCCGTCCAGAAATTCTACATTTTGATTCCAAATTCTGGAAACAATTTTTTTTTTACTCTTCTAATTCTTGTGCACTTTCACCTGAAGATCACCAACATCGATTATTCCTGGAGCTCCTCAAGGACGTCAGCTGAACATTCATCGAAGGTAAGTGAACCCGTTAAATTCCCACAGAGCGAGGTGACGCTGCATGGACGAGTACTTTTGCAAAAGTACTTTTTGCAAGTACTTTTGCATGTGGATCGAGACGGCTCAAGGAAGACTTTGGAATCCTTGAGGGCGACTTTGGAATCCTCGAGGGCATTCGTCGGTTGAAATCCGGGGAGACTCGAGGCGACTCTGAGGACGGGTGGTTCGACTTCCAAGCTTCGTAGCCTTTATATAAGCCTTTGCAGCCTTTATACAAGCCTTCGCAGAAATTGTCACGGCATAACGAAAAGTATGATACCGCAAAAATCGATAGAACCCCCCGCGTGGCCCGTGTCTCACTTCCCAAGGGATCGGCCAAATTACATCTGTCACGCGAATCCGGAGCGGGTAAAGACGCGATGACGTGATGGCAGAAATTAAATTCCTTTCCCGTCGAGGAAACGAAGTAAAGGAAAAATCCCCGGCAATGTTTTATTCTAGCAATAAAAGCTTAGAGAATGCTTTTTTGAACGCTTTAACTTTCGGACGTTTTGAACCCTTAGTTTGACGTTTCCAAGTTTCCATTGTACTTTAACCGATCCCCGCCCATGCCACTTGAAATCGATTTTTTCCCACTGCATTGTGGCGTCGCGTCCCTCTCTGTTAGTGTTGATATTCGCGTGCGGGATGCGCGAGGATGTCCGGTGTGAAAGGGCGTGAAAGGGCGTGAAAGGGTGC